GAGAGTGGCGCTTCTAACCCAGCTCAGTGGTCACCTGTCCATGTGACCCTGACATGAACGGAGGTGACTTCCAGTATTCCTGCAGTTTGTCCTGATATAACTTCCATAAAATGGTTTTACCTCTGCCAGTTGTTCCATGTAAAAAGGGATTAAATAAGGGATCATAAAAAGCTTCCACAATTTACATACTTTTCTTCATAGCCACTTAACAAGGAGACTCAAGTTTTCCCTTTTTAAACTGTTTTTAAACCTCAGTTCAGGAGAAAAGTTAAACCAGTTGGATTTCTGTCTCTCAGTGATTTTTTAAATGAAAATGGGTGAGATAGGCCTTTGGGGCCTCTTCTGATGCCAAGAGTACTATTCCTTCGGAGTTTTCAAACTTTGGCCTCAAAGGTTATCTTAATTCCAACATTTTCTAAATTAGAAAAAGGATAGTAGTAAAATTAGATGCCTGGTAAAAAGTTGCTAAACTTGATCACTTCAAGTATATCCTTGGTTCTAAGCTGTGTATCAATAATACTTCAATTAAAAAAAAAAAGAGGTGGGCTGTAGGTGAATACAATTAGTATGTAATCCATCAGGCAACCTTTAGATTATTAATAACTTTATTCTCATTATTAAAATAATGCTGGTCACTTATTTGCCATTTTTCATATTATTTATGAATAATGTCATGTTAAACATCTTTCTTCAGAAACGTCTGTTTAGTTTTGTTTTTTCTTTACTATTTCCTTAGGCTAATTTCCTAGAAGGGAAATTACTGGATTAAGAAGTCTTGATAAATATTGCCAAACTTCTTTTCAATAGAATGGCTAGATTTTATTTTTAAAACACATGTAGCTACACATCGTTCAAGACTCTCTCCAGAGATACAGTTGACTGACAGTTTAAATTTTTAGTTAGCTAAGTGTAATGAGGACTCAGATATGACTAGTAGGTTAACTGTTTATTTACTGGCAATTTCTGTTGTTAAAATCTCACGTTCTATTTTTTTATATGGTCTATATGCTATTACTGTAATAGTCCAATTATTTCTGACACACAAATGGGTACCTGGATTCTGTCCCAAAAGTTGTGTGACTACAGTATATCACAAACAAGATAAAATTTTCAGAAAGCTATGGAAAGACTGACTTGTTCATTCAACAAACAGTTCTTGAACCCTGGCCAGTAATGAGAAGCTATGGTAAGCACCAGGCAAGCCGAGAAACAGGGCGCCTTCCCTGTCTTTGAGGAGCCGATAGAGGCAGAGAGAGATGTTAATAAGGAACGAAGTAGAATCAGGTAAGAGCTTTATTAGAAGTTCATAGTAAGGGGACCAGGACTCAAGAAGCCACTTACTCACGTGTTAGACGAGGGGTTCAGAAGAGGGAGAGGGCACACCTTTGAGGAGCTCAGGAAAGTGTTAAGAGGACCTTCTGAAGGATGGGCAGGATTTACTAAGAAAGGAATATTCCAGGAAGCAGTTAGTGACCTTACAGTGCTCAAACATTGTGATGTGTACTCTCACGTCATTTGACCCTCTCAACAAACTTGTGTGATATGTTGTACGTTCTTATTCCCAAGTTGCATCAGAGGACCTATGAGTCAGTGGGGTCAAGGGACTTGTCCAAGGTCTCAGAGCTGAGTGGGGTGGCTCCCAGGGCAGCCCATGCCTCACACTTCAGTGAATGGTGCCCACAGGGAAGGTTTTGTGTTACCAACTATTGTTGTTTAACTCTTTTGTGGTTTTATCAAGTAAGGCAGTCAGGAAGCCTCCATGTTACATAAGGGTACTTTTCAGGGAGTGATTTATGGTTAATTCAAGTCTCATTTGCTTTTGCTGGTTTCTCCTCTCCAGGCCTGTCCCCATAATGTACGTAGCTAGTCATTAGCCAGGCCCATGACAAATGGGCTCGTATGCAGGATAATAAGCACATGTGGAAAGAACAATAGGTTTCAAGAGATTGTTCTAAATCATTGTTTTCTTGTGGGGAACAGAGAACCAATCATCCCAAGAAGCTTTATAGCAGAATCTTCACTGAGGAACTAGAGGGAGTTTAAATTTGAGACCCAGGAGCAAGACGTGCAGACAGAGTCCTCTTTTGTTTAGCCACGTGCAGAATAAACAGGCCCTGTGAGGCCCCTCTGCAGAGGGTGAAGGGTAACAGCACACCCATCTGGACCTCCTTCCCCTCTGGTTTGCGGAAGGCACCCATGCCCTCCCTCGGCATCCTGTAAGACCACCAGGGATGGAGGATTCCCAGCCCAGCTTGCTGTCTCATTCACTTGTAGCTCAGATAACCAGCCTGGCCCGGCTCCAGCTGCACAGCCAATCTGCTTCGCCCGTGTGCTGTCCATTTCTGTTTGTGGAAGCCCCAGGCAAGGTGCAAGCTGCCAGGCCAGCCCCGTGAAGACGTTTCTCCTCAGGCCTCAACAGCTTCCCTGAGAACAAGGCCACCTCAGGAAGCCTTCCTGGTGATGAAGACTTAGGCTTCCTGAAGGGAAAGCCCCCCCCCCCAAGGACTCCACCCGCCCTGCTCCCTCTGTCCCACCTGACGCCCTGACACTGCACGTCTGTTTGGCTGCAGCCCATTTGGTGACAGGTTGATTTGTCTATTGCTTACTGGGTCTGTGTTTGTTTTTTAGGTTGGCATTCCTTCACCATAAAAACAGGGCACTCTTTGAGGCGGGGGACCTGCCTCACATATTCTGCAGCTCACCAAGCAGGACCTTTTAGAAAGCTCTTCAAAGAGGGCACATGCTCCTCTGCCATTTGCAAGGCCAGATGGACAGACCGGGAAGGGCACGCTCCTGCCCACCAGCAAGCTGAGAACTTCAGGGGGTGGCGCTATGAGTGCGAATGCATTTTGAGTCTTGTTCTAAGAACTGAAAAAAGAAAGCTCCCCTCTTGGACAAAGAGGTAGGTGACGGATGGTCTGTTTCCGTGGTGAGGCCCCTGACCCGTTTATCTGTGAGACTGTAACACAGAGAGTGGCGCTTCTAACCCAGCTCAGTGGTCACCTGTCCATGTGACCCTGACATGAACGGAGGTGACTTCCAGTATTCCTGCAGTTTGTCCTGATATAACTTCCATAAAATGGTTTTACCTCTGCCAGTTGTTCCATGTAAAAAGGGATTAAATAAGGGATCATAAAAAGCTTCCACAATTTACATACTTTTCTTCATAGCCACTTAACAAGGAGACTCAAGTTTTCCCTTTTTAAACTGTTTTTAAACCTCAGTTCAGGAGAAAAGTTAAACCAGTTGGATTTCTGTCTCTCAGTGATTTTTTAAATGAAAATGGGTGAGATAGGCCTTTGGGGCCTCTTCTGATGCCAAGAGTACTATTCCTTCGGAGTTTTCAAACTTTGGCCTCAAAGGTTATCTTAATTCCAACATTTTCTAAATTAGAAAAAGGATAGTAGTAAAATTAGATGCCTGGTAAAAAGTTGCTAAACTTGATCACTTCAAGTATATCCTTGGTTCTAAGCTGTGTATCAATAATACTTCAATTAAAAAAAAAAAGAGGTGGGCTGTAGGTGAATACAATTAGTATGTAATCCATCAGGCAACCTTTAGATTATTAATAACTTTATTCTCATTATTAAAATAATGCTGGTCACTTATTTGCCATTTTTCATATTATTTATGAATAATGTCATGTTAAACATCTTTCTTCAGAAACGTCTGTTTAGTTTTGTTTTTTCTTTACTATTTCCTTAGGCTAATTTCCTAGAAGGGAAATTACTGGATTAAGAAGTCTTGATAAATATTGCCAAACTTCTTTTCAATAGAATGGCTAGATTTTATTTTTAAAACACATGTAGCTACACATCGTTCAAGACTCTCTCCAGAGATACAGTTGACTGACAGTTTAAATTTTTAGTTAGCTAAGTGTAATGAGGACTCAGATATGACTAGTAGGTTAACTGTTTATTTACTGGCAATTTCTGTTGTTAAAATCTCACGTTCTATTTTTTTATATGGTCTATATGCTATTACTGTAATAGTCCAATTATTTCTGACACACAAATGGGTACCTGGATTCTGTCCCAAAAGTTGTGTGACTACAGTATATCACAAACAAGATAAAATTTTCAGAAAGCTATGGAAAGACTGACTTGTTCATTCAACAAACAGTTCTTGAACCCTGGCCAGTAATGAGAAGCTATGGTAAGCACCAGGCAAGCCGAGAAACAGGGCGCCTTCCCTGTCTTTGAGGAGCCGATAGAGGCAGAGAGAGATGTTAATAAGGAACGAAGTAGAATCAGGTAAGAGCTTTATTAGAAGTTCATAGTAAGGGGACCAGGACTCAAGAAGCCACTTACTCACGTGTTAGACGAGGGGTTCAGAAGAGGGAGAGGGCACACCTTTGAGGAGCTCAGGAAAGTGTTAAGAGGACCTTCTGAAGGATGGGCAGGATTTACTAAGAAAGGAATATTCCAGGAAGCAGTTAGTGACCTTACAGTGCTCAAACATTGTGATGTGTACTCTCACGTCATTTGACCCTCTCAACAAACTTGTGTGATATGTTGTACGTTCTTATTCCCAAGTTGCATCAGAGGACCTATGAGTCAGTGGGGTCAAGGGACTTGTCCAAGGTCTCAGAGCTGAGTGGGGTGGCTCCCAGGGCAGCCCATGCCTCACACTTCAGTGAATGGTGCCCACAGGGAAGGTTTTGTGTGGAACACGGTGGTAATGGCAGCTGAGACAGGCAAGTCTGACTTCTGACTTCTGGTGTCCTTTGCATGATATTAATCTGCTATGATATTTTTCACTTAAGATGAAATGGATTAAAATGAAGACACACTAAAGGTGCCTATTACTTTTAATATTTTATATACTGTTGCTTTTATTGGAATATTTTGGAAAGATTCTCTCTCTCTATATATATATCTTATATGAAGATAAGCACATAAATAAGCACATCTTTATTTAAATATGATATATGCATATACATCAAATGTAAGATGTATTTTAATTTGTGCTGTTTTCCTTACATTAGGACTTTAAAACCTTGTATATATTCAGCTATACTAAACAAAAGGAATATTGCACCAGTTTTATCTCAGCTTCTAAAGCTTCAACCTGTTTGAAGAAATGACTAGTATTTTTGTAATGCCAGGAACTGTGATGAGAAAAATCAAAGGATAATTAATCCACAGAGAGAAAAAGACCAGCGCAGGTACCTTTGAGTTGGCTTCTACTAACAAAAGTATTACCATATAAGATAAGGAAATTTGCTTTTGGTGACCTGGAGCTGTTCATCTTTTCCAGTGTGGTGGAGTTATGTCTAAGGAAATGGAGGTGATTTCATAAATGACATACATACAAAAAGCTAATGGACACATTATAAATTTTGTACTGACATGTGAAATGTTTCTATGAGACATTTTAAAGACCAAAATAGACTGATTAAAAGGTTAGTTATGTTCCTCAAGGTCACCAAGTTAGGCAGCATAAGGGCAGTGGCTGCAATCCAAGGTTTTGGACTATTACTTCGGTCCTTCGGTCCTTGTGATAATTCAAGATGTCTTCATGAGGTCTGACGTGGGTACTGTCAGAAACTGGCAAATATTCTTTCACATATTAGAAACCCAAGTCTGGGTGCTAGCCTGTCCCATGTCAGCATATGTCAGCACATGTGAGTCAGCTCACACAGCACAGCTGATATCCTCCACACAGACAAGCAGATACACCAAGCCCAGTATGTTCCAGGACTCCACAGACAATACCCTGTGCACATCTCTAAACGCCTGCAGAAGCTGCCCCGGGTCCCCAGGGAACTCTGTCTACTGAGATTTTCTTCTTCTCATTCTTCAAATCTAGACTATGGGAAACAGGTTCAGCTACTGAAAAAACAGTAAGACGAAACCTTCAACTTTCAGTTATGACTCCCCCAATAAGAAAAGACATCAATGTGGCATTTATTATGAAACGTGTGAACAGGGCCCCATAGAAACCATACTTTGAACAATCTCATTCAAAGGTGCCAAGGGCACTAATGAGACCGGGGTGCCGGAAAAAGCAGAAATAGATCAATACTTCTCCCCCTAACCCTGCAGTTGTCCCCACCATCAGCCACTGCACTCGTTCTATGTAAATGCAATCAATCAGCAAGGATTTCTGTAAAATGCATAAAACAGTTGTCTTCCAGGCCTTACCAGAAGATAAATGATTCCAGACGTTGGACTGCGGCCATTTTCCCACACATGCTACAAAGTTCTGACATCCATATTGGGCCATAACTCTGAGCGGTTTCTGCTTTTGCGAGTTTACAGCCAGTGCTTCCACTTCTGGGTTGGCCTAGACAACTGATGCCGAGGCCAAAATAAGTCCCTTTTTGCCTTGTGTAAATTGCAAGAGAATTGCTTTTTTCCGACAGAGGGGCTCCTGTGGTCCCCCTGAAAACTTTTTGGCATTACTATATAAGCTGATCATCCCAAATTACTGCCTGAGATCACTTTGGAATTAGACAAATCCGGGTCTCATAAAACATTCAACATGCGACATCAAATGCAAACCACTTAGATGTAACATACGGCATCATACAGCCTAAGTCCAACTTTGCTTTAAAACGAATACATTTGAAAATGTATTAAACATAAATAGCAGGACCATTTTATATGGTAGCTTATGCTCTGGAAAAGGGTTAAAGGCTTTTGGAGAAAAATAGATTAAAAAGAAGACCCAGAAGCAGTTTCCTTTAAAAACTATGGCAACCCAGTAACATTATCTGGAAGACATGCAGAAGTCTAGGTCATATTCATGGATATGCATATAACCAATGCCATGGAATCAAACATGCAATAGACAGCACTTTCCGCCAGTCTCTAAAATCTGAGAGATGGGCACTTTCTCACTAAATTGACTTTGAGGAAAGATACAAATAATTGTGCCCATGGTTCAAAAAAATAAGAAAGTCCTCTATCAATATCTATAGTCTGAGACAAAAGCAATTCTCCAAGGTTAAATAAAAGTAAAATAAATCTTACTGTAACTTTCAAATATTTTTGAAGTGAATAATCAGAATGAGAGGCACGCCTTCAAGTTCTTTTAAAAGAATGTCCTTCGAAATATCAAATACACCACAAAGAAAACCTTATATATTGATAACCAAACTCAGAGCAAACAGGAAGTTCTCTGCTGTTTAGACCACCACCAGAACCTCCTTTTCTATGCAATAGCAACTTACTGTGTTTAAAAATGTCCTTAGGCTGAGCTGTACCTTTGAAACAAAACCACGCTCTTCATTTCATTTTCTGCTTTCTTGAAAATTGCTGCTGAAACTGACAGATGGTGCATCCGTCACAGAGCATTTCCTCTTCGTTATCTCTGCCAGCTAATATTTCCTCTGTGCTTAGCTGTTGTCTGTGAGACTGTTCCACATCATTCTAGCCTGATCAATGGTGTGCCTGCTCTGAGGTTGGCCGTGGCCCCGCCTCCGGCTCTAAGAGGAAAAAAACGAAAACTCACAGCTGGATTTCCTACAAATCCTCTCTTTTAAATCTGGCTCTGCAGTTACGGCACATAGTAGAGGAAAAAGCTGCCAGTCTTTCATAAACCAAGAGGGGCGATCCTCTCCTAGGGTCCCCCCACACCAGCGCCAAGCATGTATGTTATAGAACAAATCCCATTTTAAGTTAGACGGAAGCTTCACAGGATGGGAGGAAGAGTTTTAAACCAGGTTCACATTTTTCCATGCCTAATGAGACTCCAAAGAAGATGCCCAGGACTGAAACTCACACACATGTGCACTCACACACATGCACATTCATCGAAAAAATTTTTAACATTTTACAACAAACGGTTCCAAGGAGAAAATGCCAAAGTAGTATGTTACAAATCGTGTCTATCCTAAAACAAGGTGTCATGCATATCCAGAGGACGTTACACAAAGGACAGGATTTGCTAGACTTTATACTTCAGATAAACTGGTGAATCGAGAGAATGCATGACATGCATTTCAGGTTCCAGATGAGAAAAGCTTGCTCTAACAGGTGAACGTGCCACGCGGGGCTGCTCTGTGAATCAGTGGGACAAAGGATGCGTTTCTAGGCTTCCAGGTACTGCACAGTCAACAGCGACCAAACCTTACCAGGCGAGGGGCTGCCATTTAGAGCAAGTAGCACATGTGAGAGATATGGCTAAGGATTTGAAGACTATACTGGGATCCAGGGTCACAAGGTCTGGATTCAAGTCTCAGCTTTGCTTCTTGGACAGTGTCTTAGAACATGAAAGGCGCCGAGTAGGCTCTGGGGACCTCGCAGGTGATGGCAGGATTAAATGAACATGATAAAACACTTCGTTATTTTTCAGTTTGTATTGTTCAACAATAGAGAGAATATGCCTAAGTATGAATATTTAATCTGGCAAAGGATGGTACCAACCTAAATGCCACAGCCTGTGATAAAGAGCGCTAATAATAAAAGGATTGTGGGAATAATGTGCAGGGTATGAAGTGCATGCTGACGGTAGTGATCACTCACATTGTGGATATCGGAATTCTAAGTGGGAATGTGCAGTAAGCACAGGTCAGAGAGCGGTTGAGGGGTAAAAGTTGGAAACCTCGGTTCCCCTTCCACATTCTCATACAGGCCTGGAACTGTCACCTGCTGTAGGTTGTGGAGCCCCTAAGGGGAGGGACAAACACATCAGAGGTCGTTGAATAAATGAGTAGGGAGAAACTGAGCTAGATGAGAATTCCGCACTCTCAGGGAGGGAGTATAGACGACTGTGAGAAGCCTGAGCTTCACACTGGAAGACCAGGTACTTCAAGTTTAAGAATGTGTGTCCCTGCAGTCTCCCCAAATGTGAGGTTGGCATTAGGAGGGACAGAGGCTTTCTGGGTCACTGGAGAGAAAGGGGATTTTGTTCAGGGACCCTGATCTGGCGCAGCTGTCTACACCCCCCCGACTCCTGCAGTCCCTACTTCCTTCCTTGAGAAGCCATCCTGCTGACAATGAGGGTGAGTCAAGGACCAGATCGTCTGTAAACATCCTGTAATGAAAGTACATGGATTGTTAGGGTAAATTCTTCCTAAATGGGGAGTCCTTGCTTGCCAAGAAGTCAGCTTTCCAAATCTAGTGGGACCCCTGTTCCATGTGTCCGGGGCAGCTGTGGACCCGAGGTGAAGGGAAGGCAGATGAGATGGGTCCCTGTGCCTACCCTGTGGGCCGCCCCATTACCAGTGCATTTCTGTGGTCCTGACTAAGTTGGAAAGCTCATCCAGTTCCATAAAGACCCCAGGTGTGTGGCCTCTTTCCCCTGAGCTGGAGGATTATACCAATATGAGTAAGAGAATTTACCAACTGCAAAGCTCTAATCTAAGAGAAGCTTTCTGACTGCTGTACTGTGCAAGGCATTCTGCCAGACACCACAGAGGAGGCGGCCTCCCAGCTCTCCAGCCACCGCCTTACCATGGCACCAATGACTGCAGTCGGTAACAGCATCGGAGGCCAGCAGGAGCAGGAGAGCACACCTGGGGCTCAAGGGGGAGTCAATCTGGTTTGGGAAATGGGAATGGGTGAATCCACACAGCGTGACTAGGGAGGTAGCATTCACGTTTGGGAGGGATTCGCAAAGACAGAGATGAGGAAGGGCACCTGGAAGAGAAGGACACCCACAGAGGAGAGAAGGGGTTCCAGGCACAGAGGGAGACCAGAGACCGGGCAAGCTGAGCAACAGCAGCGCATCTAGTTCTGCTGAAGCTTGGGGAGCACGCCAGAGAGTCACAGAGGATGAGACAGGCGGAAGCACCCGCGGCATGGCCTGGAATGCTGGCAGCGGGGTGGGGAGGTGTTGCTGAGTTCAGTCGGCAAATGAGAACCCTTGGAAGTTTCTGAGCCCACGTGTGACATAATCTGAGCAGTAAAGTCTGGAAACCACGTTTACCATGGATTATAAAGGAGATAGTACTGGCCCACTTAGGAGGCTACTACAATAATTTTAATAAGAGGTCACAAAGGCTTAAACTTGAAGGATGAGGGTAAATAAAGGAAGGGTACAAGAGGCAACTGTACAGGTGTAACAGGGGTCAGGGAAGATGAGTCCAAGAAGACCCCACCTTGAGGACCTTGCTGAAGATATCTGCAGATAGATGTACAAACATATGCACATTTTTATTTCAGCACTATTTTGTAATTTTACATTGTTTATAGTTGCAAAAGATAGAAAACGACCTAAATGTCCATCAAAAGGGAACTTACAATTATGCTACAGTCATATTATGAAATACTATGCAGCCATTTAAAATATGTGCAGCTACACTTGTTGAGTATTGGTAACAGACAGCAGGTTGCCAGTGGTTAAGGAGTGTATGCAGAAGAGAAGACATAGGCAGGGAGTAAATTCACAGCAAAGGAAGGAAATAACTGGGGAGTGGAATAAGCACTGGGTGGGGAACCCCAGGATCTGGATTCTCATCCAGATTGACACCTGTCTTCCCCAGAATAAGGCCAATCAAAAGTTGTGCAGATTACGCCTACGCAAATATATGTGGAGGCTTTGCCCACAAGCACCAACTTAAAGGTGCCCCAAACTGACCTGACCCAGCCCTGCTCACTTTCATGTCCAAATGAAACATGTTCACATGGTCACAATACCTATGTGCCTGGGAAAGTCAGTACTTGAAAAGGAACACAATCCATGGAACTAAAGTGCATCTGAAGTGCCCTATTTTTATCAAATTCTGGGCAAGAGAAATCAGGTAAGCATCACAAGCAACAGCCATGCCCAGGTGTAAGTGTAGTGCCTGTTCACAAGCCAAGCACAGCCGTAATGGGGACTGACCTGCTGGACCTCAGTCTTGTGATCCGTTAGCCAGGGACTGATGTTCCAATCATCAGTCCCTTTCTCCTTAGTTACGGGACATCTTCAGTAACCACAAACAAGAAGTGAAGTCCACCCTTATAGAAGGACTTTGGAACTTCAATAGCAGACCCTGGGGGTCTACAGCAGCCATACATTGCTTGAAAGGGCACCATAGGGGGTATCCTGGAGGCATGGGTACAGCTCCTTGGGGATTTTGTTTTCTTTTTTTTTGCAGAGAGACAGGCCTGACTATTAAATGTTCCTCATCAGCTCTGCAGAGAGGAGAATACGCTGCAGAAATGAGGACTCCACAGAGGAGGACACTCATCAAGGGAAGAAATGCTCCTATGCAACAGTGTGTAGGCAATTGCTTGGTACACAGAATCTGTGCAAGAGCAAATTAAGAGCGATATTTCACAGTGGGTGAGGGCAGCATGGCTTCACGGAGAGGGGCACGTTCTCTCTCAAGTACCGCAAAGACACGGCACTTCATGTCCCAAATGTCTGGCTTCTCATCTTGACTCTGGCAGGTACCAGCTGCATGAACTTGAATGAATTCCTTGAGATCTCTCATTGTTAAATGGATACTAACAGTACCATCTTGGGATTGTTGGGAGTAGTCAGTGGGTTAATCAATGTAAAATGCTGTGAAGAGGGCCTGGCATAAACATTCAATACATTTTATTATTCCATAGATAGAATCTTAAAGTTTAGGTGATCACAGCTACATGGAAAGAGTTGAATCTGATTAATCGCAGTTCGAAAAATAGAATTCTCTTCAAGAAGAGCTAACTGCTGCATTCCCCTGTAATTTACTTTAAAACCCTTGAGAATGCATGGTGCAGTGTTATGCATGTGTTCCTTAGGCTGAGCTATAATCCGGGTGCTGCTAGCATTGAACGAAGCATTCAAAGCCTAAGACAGTCTAGCTGGTATTGTAGAGCGAGCCAGTATTTAAGAATCTGCTGACAAAGGCCTTACTGGCACCATCTGTCCATCAAGTCGCCAGTGAGCACTCCAAGTGACAGAAATGGGTTTTAACTGGTGAAAATCATCACTGTTAATAAGTGTGTTTGGTAGAATTCAGGAAATCTGATGGGTTCAAAGTGCTACAGTGTAAACATCTGGTAAGGACTTTACACGTATCTCTGGTGATAATTCCCAGTCTAAATTCCTAAATGTTCCTAGATGTGTTATCAGTAGGACTTGGTTGTAAGATTTTGAAGAGAGCAGTTGACCCTCTTCTGCTTCAAAACTTCTTCAGCAGCCATTTTCTATGAAAAAGAATGTAAGGGTCGTGCATGACCAATGTTTTTTAGCATTTTAATTCACATCAATTATTTTAGTTCACTTAGCCATTTCTTGAGGGGTCTGTTTGCCTGGTGTGGCTATGAGGATTATTAAATCTGGAATCTGGGTGTTTGACTCAAGCCTCACCTAATTTTTTTTTTTGGTATCATTAATATACAATCACATGAGCAATATTGTGGTTGCTAGATTCCCCCCATCATCAAGTCCCCACCACATACCCCATTGCAGTCACTGTCCATCAGTGTAGTACTCTCCTGACTTTTTTATGTAAGGCTGTGGTGGAAGCACCTAAAGAGAAAGCAAAGAGCTGGGACTTCTTCGGGCCTCCACACAGGTTACGTGAATCGATTCATGTGTGGGGCTATGTGTTTGCTTGTTAATGAATGTCTATACATTTGACAGAACTTGGACCTACATTTGGTTATCAAAACGACTTGGTTGTGAGGTTTTGGGGAGAGTAGCTGACCTGCTTTTGCTTCACACTTTCTCCTTTGACTGCCATTATTAGCAAAAAGAACCTAAAAGTTATGCATGGTTAATAGGACTATTTTAGTTTGCTAATAAAGACAGTGTGGGTGACGGACAGTGACTGTAATGGGATTTGTGGTGGGGACTTGCTAATGAGGGGTGTCTAGTAACCATAATGTTGCTCATGTAACTGTATATTAATGATACAGAAAAAAACCCACAACACAGTAGGGGGCATAGAGCCCACAGGACATTTAAGAAGATCAGCAAAAGTTCCAAAGTTTGCTTTTGACCACAGAGCCCAAGGACAAAGAGTTTCTTTCGGTCACATCAGGTTTAGTTATTGGATTCTCAGAAACTTGCCGAATTCTTGGCAAAAAGGAATTAGAAACATATTTTTCTACACACCCCTAAAGACATTATTTGCATTTTGTGATAAATATAATTATAAATATGAAAATAAAGTTCCTCTCCTGTGGGATTCACTCATTTTTAATAAATTGTTTTGTTATCTTCACAAGGTGAAGTCCAGAAACATCGAGCACTTTTTAATAACTACTAAGAATAACCTTTAAAATATTTAAAAAATGTATTTTAATTACACCAAATATTGCTCATGGTAAAAATTCTAACAGAAGTCCATTTTTGTTCCCAACCCCTAATTCTACTTGTCCCCCTAGAGGTAATTCTATTAACAGTTTAGTGTCTATCTTCCAAGTTTATACACACACACACACACACACACACACACACACACCTTTTTACACATATCTATACATATATGTACATATCTATCCATGTTTCAGACCCATTAGATAGTTCTTTTCATATAAAGTCTAATTACATGCATTATTCAAAGACTTATCTTGTTCACTTACAGGTCCTAGAGATCTTCAGATGAACAAATAAGAAAGCTACCAGCTTAATCCAGTGGAACCCAAGTGACTATCTGATGAAAAACCTTGTACCAGGGAAGCCAGACCAATGAAGTAGCTCCAAAATAGAGCCACAAACACCCCTGTGCCTTCCTGGGTGCCCCCCCCCCGTCCCCCTGAGGCCGAGAGATCTGTCCCTTCTGTTCCTCTCCAGTACTTTAACATCCTGGGCAACACAGTAGACCAGACAGATGAACGAGTGAATGAAAAAACTGAGTAGAATTCAATGCCTCTACTAGCTGCAGAGAACAGACTGTCCCTTTAGCCTGCACACAGGTGTCTGGAATATGCCTGCCTCTTTTCTTCCTTATTTTAAGCAGAAAATAAATATCACCTTCTACTGCGGCGTCGCTCTGCTTTATGGCGGTGGAAACGGGGGCGTGTCAGACGGGATGCTGAGGCGCGTGGGCACACGTGCATTCTAAGCGTCAGCACGAGGCCACAGGTGCTAGTGTGTGGGGCTCCCGCAGACTGGGAAGGGCAGGCGGCAGACGCGCAGAACGAGGGCTGCGACTTCCCGCGCTCCCAGCACCAGGGAGCCCAGCCTCAACTTGCAATGAGTAGTTTTCAGGGTCTCAGGACACTATGCAAGCCTCCACTGCAATCTCAGGAGCAGACACCCAAGGTAATGTTGAAATCTGAACCCACGCTTATAGGGTGCTCTACAAGCAAACTGCACAAATCCCTTTCCTAGCATGCAACATTCAGTCCTGAACAGGACTAGCAGTTAATCACACAGCTCCTACCTTGATTAATCGCCTTCCTTTTTCTGGAGAAAAATGTTACCTTTCGTTATAAAATTACAGATGTTCACTTTGCTGTAAGTGTTGCAAATGCAGAGTTTTGTGAAGCTGTTGTTTTTAGATTAAGGCAACCTACCTCCTTTCTCTGTCAAATTCTTCTTTAGAAGCAAATCAAGGTGATTGGCTCAGCTCTTTGGGTCATCAACCCTGAGTTTATAAGCTTCTTTATCCAAAAAGATTCCCTAAGAGAAATCTGACAGCACATCTACAGCGTGAGGGTCTGAAACGGAGCCAGAGAAGCAATGACAGCTGTACGTGGAATGTAAACGGTAAGAACTTAATTCCACATTGGGTACAGTTTGAAAATGTCAGCACTGCCTTACCTATGTGGATGTTCCACTGTACATAGAGGATTTCTATTTCAGTATTTGTAAAATTCCAAAAGTTATAAACTTCTAGCTTCTATAACAGAGAGAGAGAGAGAGAGAGAGAGAGAGAGAGAGAGAGAGAGAGAGAGGGAGAGAGAGAGAGAAATTAGGGTAAAGGTCTTGTCAGCAAAAAGGCAACCCTGCATTGGGAAGCTGTATTAAAAACAGAAAAAACAAAATCTTGTGGTAGAAGAAATGTGTTCAGAACAGGCTCAGAAGGTTATAAGCGATGGAAACAAAGAAAAAAGAATCTCCATCATATCCACATCTTCCCTGCACATCAGATGCTCTGGACAGCTGGCTGGGGTTTGTGTGACCAGGCAATGGAACCTGTCTGGCTCTCTCGTGGGAGGGAAGGTGTGTGAGGTCCTGGCATTCGGCAGCTACAGACCAGAGAAAGTCAACAGCAGTGAGAAAGGGTAAACTACCTGTTGGGGAGATGCCAATTCCACACACCGTGCTCCTGACAATTCTAGAAGAATAGATTTGCCTCCTGGAAGCTGGCATTCTACTCCTCAGAACTGTCAACACTATTTTAGGCTTCTATTTCCCTTCCACCACTACTACCTACCAGCGCTTGATCTGTAAACCTTGATCATCAACTCTAAAACTGGCTGAAATTTTCAACAGTGTTGTCTTTAATTCTGGGCAGAGAAATGCACAACTCCTTTGTATAACACTCAGCACAGAGGTCGCTTTAATTATGATGCTAATAGACATCAACAAAGAAGCTGCCTTTTCCAAGAACAAAGCCTGGTCAACCCACGCTGATCACTTGCTAAACTGAATTTCTCCCACTGTTTTGAAGATGATGTCACCGCTCATTGCCTCATCCAATGTGTATGAAGCCCAGAGCTTTGACTTTTACTCAGAGTTACTCTCAAATATTGGATGATGCAAACTTCTAAAAAAATCTGGTATCTCTTTTAAAGTTCACTCTGAAATTTCAGGAAAAAAGCAGATCTGAAGTAGATTCTGAAACCATAATGGACATCATCTCTTTACAACCTCTCAATGCAAGAGCACGTTGTGCATTTTTTTGGTTCATATCTGACGGCCTTCTCACAAGAGCTCTCCATGGCTTCACTGAAACCAACTTCAAAACCAAACTTAGAGGCACACTTATCTAGAAGGTTCAGGAATCCTAGGCTCCTGAACTTGTTTTTCATTTTGCTGTGAAGCGCGGGTGGCCATGAGCATTCCTGGCAGCTATAAGGCATTTGCTAATGTATTAGACTTTTAAAGTTGTTAATCACACTTATCAGCACAGGCAAACAGTACTGGCTGCAAAAGATTAGCTGCTTTACTGCAGTGCTCCCATAATCTGACATAGGAACATGAGCTCCAAGTGGCGACTGCCCCCAGCTAGCTCCAACCTCCAGTGACTTCAGAACTTATGAAAAACCTTAGCTTTTAATAAATCCCAGATTGTCTTTTCCATCACCTCATACACACACACACACACACACACCTCTCGTGATGGGAGAAGAGAAAACATTCCCAGTGCTGTGTACTGCATGAGTTCATCAAACAACTAGGATGTGCCTTAAAATATCGACTATATTTTGAGCTTCAAGGCGGCCTTTATTGCCAGGAGATTCAGGCACTACTAACGTCATAACGAAAAATGTGTATGACAACCAGCAAGAGCCTAGTTTCCAAAGAAACTAAACCTCACTTAAATCCTTTGGAAGCATTAGATTCTAACTGTAGTTTTTCCCCTTGAGACACATACACCATTGCTTCTTGGGAAGGAATATGTTTAGAGAACAAGGAAAAGTATTTCCCAGAGGTGAGTGTGTCAGGGAATTCAGTTGTATTCTGGAAAGAACTGGGCCCCGAGAGCTGAGCCAGGCTGGCCTCTGATGGGTGGGATGTTGCTTTCACTCAACTCTTCTTTAAAAAGACCATGTGTTTCATTCAGCAGACATATTTCTAGGCTAGTGTTCCCATGCTTGAAGCCCAGCTTCTTTCTTCCTAGCCCATCTGAACCCCACAAGACTAATTCTGGTTTTACTTCTGCAAGACAAAACAAAGCCCAACCAGTAATGGTTCACCTTCTATTCTAACCCTTAGCCAACCGTCCACATGGTGTTCTCTAGGTGACCTCTAAGCACTCACTCTGTAATATATCAAGATTTTTTTTTTTATACCGAACCTCACGATACTGTTCTTTTGACCATCACATTGTCGGACATGGGAGATGTGGCTGCTTCATAGGTTAGACATGATGGGAGATCTATGGGGATGAAAGACTAGGAAATAGAGAAATCTTGCTTTCTAGGTGTCTTCAAAGGAAGACACAGAATCATTTCCCTACAGTATTTGAGCACAGGCCATCTCAAGCACAGAGATGGACCAGACAGCTTCTCTGGGTGAAGACTATGGCTGGCAAAGACACGTCCCATCTCCCCAGCTCGTTGTTTTTGGTGACATGAGCAAACTGAGTGGTGACATACCACTTGGGAAGTGGGGTGGGGGGGACTGGACACATCCCCACCCACATGACTTCAGTCCCCTACCTCTTGCTTCCGTTGCTTGGCCTCTTTAAAACATTCTCTATCCAGCCTTTTCCTGCAAAATATGCCAGTTGTCAGGCTGAGCAGTGGGGAGAAAGGGGTCGTTTATTTTCTGGGCAAGAAGCCAGTGTGGCTGCTGTGAGGGCACGATGATATTTGAGAGGGGCAGGAGGCCACAGAGCCGTCCAAGCCAAGGAGAACCTGCCCACCGGGGCTTCCTCACTCGTGGCTGTGCTGGGTGATGGGGCTGTCACCAGATGGCTCTTCCCAAAACGGAAAGATTCAAGGAGAAACCTCCGAAAGAGAGTGGGAGCAAGAGAGGACATTGCAACCCTTGCTGGGGAGAATGCTGCCCAGCCGGAAAGAAGAAACACCTGCGTTAAAAATCGCTCCCAAATTAAGCTTAACAGACTTTTATTTTAAAAATGCAGCTTTACTGCATTCTCAACACAGGAACTATGCTGGGGTCAAAGATAAATAAGGCCTGGTTCTTTTCTTCAGGACGCTCTCTCAGCCTGGCGAGGCGGGTCAATGAAGGAAGTGATTATTTCTAAAGAGAATGACTAGAGAGAGTAAGTTACGAAGCGTCTACTTCACGGCAAAGCTTAGAGCACATTATATTACCCCCACACACAAAAATCTCATTTCATCCCCATTTTACAGCTGGGGAAACTGAAACTCATATTGAAGTGCTGTCAATGGCTACACAAAAGTTGCAAGCTCTCTATTGAAATCAAGATCTTGCTCCCAAGCGCGTAATTCCAAAGCTCATGCTATTCTTCCGTGATGTCTCAGCTTCCCTTCACTTGTCTGGCTTGCAGCAACCTGTTTATCCTCCTGCTAAACAGAATATTGTAAGAAATGCTGCAAAGATCTTAACACAGCAGGGGTACTACGTCAATTCCGGAGGACATTATTATAACATATTTACTCATCTCTCATTTAGTTGTCTGTGAAAAGCAGAGGGCAGATAGCAATTTCTATATTCGTCAAAGTTGGCTTTGGGATTTCAGTATTAACAAGAGAACAACACTTTGTGATAAATACATAGGACGTCACATCACTCTACCCTCGGCTGTGCTGAACATATGGCAGTGACAACACTGAGAACACATGCAAGACAATTTCTTACATTGGGACTTGAGTGGTTCTAAAAGTAAGGGCATTGGAAATAAACAGGGTATGTTGGTCCCGCTCTCATTTTTGGGATCTAAGAGACATGTGTTAATCACATCCATTGTACACAGAAAACTACATAAGATGCTAGGGGCTAGATATAGTATGACTAAAAGAAGCCTGTGGCATGGAGGGGGATGACCACCACACAGTCCAGCGTGATTCAAGGGTGTGAGTGCAGAACAGGGGCGCAGGGGAAGGTCCAGGATGGAAATCACAGCTGCAGGTTTCGAGACTGGAACACCGATGGCCAGAGGAGCCACTTCTAAGTCATTGTCCTGGGGCGCCTTACCAAAAGTCATAACCAGACCTCTGTCCCTGCTTCAATGTTTCCTCCAGAGCACATTTTACCTTCTAACATACTATTTGCTCACTTACTTAGTTTACTGTTCAGCTCTCCTCTGAATCAAAACTCCATGAGGAAGGGATATTTTCCTGCTTTGCACACTGATGTATCTTTAGTGGAGAACAGGC